GCCTGGACAAAATGTCACAGACCTAGCTAATCAAATTCGTTGGCATAATGAAATGTAAACCCAACCAAAAAAGTTATAAGATACTGTTGTCATGAATTATTATTAAGAACATTTGAGGTAGGGTAGATATTTAAACTAAAAAAATGAAAGATAATGCACCCACCAATCATTATTTTTTGATGTTGTACCTGATGAAAATATGTGGGAATTCAGTGTCATTAATGAATGTGGATCAATTTTCATTTCACAAATCATGCAAATAGAGTGACAAACATATAACTTATTTTAGGCATACATGTGTACAGTATGAAAGTTACAAATTAAATTAAATATTGAAAGTGCTCACCATCAGTATCGTATGAAGTCTCCGCTATTTATTTTCAAGACTTGCTCGAACATTTTCATAGAAATGTCAAGGCGTGACAAAGTTTGAGCAATTATTTACAATCAAAATAAATAAATAAATAAATAAATAAATAAATAAATAAATAAATAAATTTAAAAAAAACGCGGTCTGCGTTACCTGCAATACCAAAAGGCCTGGCAATACTCTGATAGTTGTAAATAGTTCATTCTTTGCTTGGTCAAAAGAGGTTTCTTGGGTGCTGTGCTTTACCCTAAGCCATCAGTGAGGAGTCTTTCATTTATTGTTCCTGTGGAAAACTTGACACATGCACGGCTTTGGTCTTCTTTCTTTAACAAAGTATTTATTACATAAATTTCAACTTAGGCATCACCAAGATATTTGACCATCAAAGGGGGTATCTATTCAGCATAGCATATGTTTTGGGATCACAAAGCTTACTTTTGTATCTTTTAATATGAAAAAATGAACTTGACATACATAATTTATCCTTAGACAGTAGAATACATTATACACAGAAATGGTCCTGTTACATTGTGTGAAACGATTGTTAACATTTCCCAATCTAACTCGTTCATTTACTGGACTAGCAGTGCCCTTGCCTGAAATTGATACAAAACTTACTCAGGTCCAGTTCATTTTCTGGTTATGTGTTTGATATATCAGACAGTGCATGTGTAAACCTACAACTGTCCATCTTGTTCTGCTTCAGATCAATGCTCGAAAGTGGCATATAGCTAGTGGAGTAAACGCTAAGTCAACATGACAAACTTTGAAAATTATCTTAAAACAAGTCGCCAAATCAACAAAAGTACATGGGCACTCTTCATTTTTTCCTAATATATCTACGCTTGCTACTTTAAACTGATGGTTTAGTGTGGTGAGTTTATTCGTTGAAAATGCTTCCCTTGATAAGGTCTCTTTAAAATTTATCACAAAAAAAAATGTAAAAATAAGCATTTGCCAAAAAAACAGGACACCATAGCAAGAAAGTTTACATGGTAAACAACACTTTTTGCAATTACCATTGACCTAGTTTAATGAGTAAGGTCATTGAAAATACTTTGTAAAAAATACAAAATACCAAATAATGACTTCAGGCATTTCGGTTTCATCCAGGAACTAGTTGCCTCGGCATGTCTGTCATGTGCACTTTTTTAATATTATTATGGATGCAATAGTGTCAACTATGCTTGCCATTTACATTTCCAATGTACATTCTATAGTGATTGAAGTTAAAATCACCATAAAAAAACATACTAACATGGGTCCCTATTTTTAATGTGGCCGCAATAGTGTCGACTACGCATGTCAAAAATTTAAGGAAAACCTTTCAGACAAATTACCATAAGGACATTACCTTAACTGTCGAAGGGCATCTTGTTGTTGCACAATCTCTGAATCTGTTATATTTGTCACACTTTCTATTTTGTTCTGCTTCAGATGTCCTCAGCTTATTTATGCTCGAAAGTGTCATTCGTTTGCTACAAGGTACGCTTCAAGACAGTAAGGCGGCTGACAAACAGAATATTACAGCACCCAAAGATCCGCCAAATATAGCGCAATCTGACCAAAACAAGGTTTCCACTGTTCACGACAAAGAAATAACTTTGGTTTCTCAAAGAGAAGAATACTCGTGTTATCTGAAGAAGAAACCACTGGGTATTGCTGCACATAGGCGTGCAGCTCGACATAGTTTGTTGCATGATATTATGTTACGATTCTTTACCAAGAATGAAAATGGAAAGCTTTTTTCTGGAGAAGGGCGCCCCATGAAAAAAGATGACGGCACTATGTGCAACCCATGGAGATTGTGCATCAGTTTGTTTCCAGTTTATCTTCAAGAGTATATCCTTCGTAAGACAAACGGTCCACCTTTCCGAAGGGGAGAAGAATTCCGTTATGAAGTTGCTAGATTATTGACCTTTAGAGATTTACCCAGTTCGTTCCCTGTGCCTGCCACGCGCCTTGCGCGTGCTGGGTTCTACTATTCTGGAGAAGAAGATGAAGTCGTTTGCTTCAGCTGTGGTGGGCGGCTGAGGGAGTGGGCTCGTGGGGATGACCCTGCTGTGCGACATCGCAATTTCTTCCCAGATTGTCGATTTTTGAGAGGGACTGACACAGGAAATGTTCCAGTTCTTCCAACAGATGATGCTGTTTTCAATGGCAACTTAGACGCTAATGCTGATCTTTTCCCAGACTTAACAAACGTCAGGTCTACACCACGTGACCATGGTGGCAATGCGTCCTCACAACTGTCAAGTAAACAAGCACTATCCAGGTCACTGGACATCAGTTCACCAGAGGTCGCCACCCCGCAGACCACACCGCTGGAAAGTCGTCCAATGACCCTCCCTGGGGTAACTAACAGTGTGAATTTTACTGAAGTCGCAAGCCCCCCCTCAACGGAAAAAATGATGAGGAACGAGTCTGACCGCCTGGCGACATTCGTCAACTGGCCCAATGGAGCAAGTGTCCGACCCAGGGACTTGGCAAGAGCTGGCTTCTTCTATGTGGGCACGGAGGACCGGGTACAGTGTGCCTTCTGTGAGGGGGTTTTAAGGAATTGGGAACCAGGTACGAGCTTTTTTTTTCATTTCTTTTTTACTTAATTCTATCCCTGTCTGTTCTGTACAAATGATTAAACAGAAAAACCGTAGCTAAGATGTATAATGCGAACATTCCAAAATTTACCAAAACAACCCTCTAGACTGGTTTACCATGGTTAAGCGTCGATTTGTTACGTGGTTAAGCATCGATTTGTAACGTAAATGGTGGTTTAAGCAAAACATTCGGGGCTCTTTGCGTTAAAAACACACTACGCATCAGACTGTCAGAGGATATAATTTGTTTTAGGAGACCAACCAATGCAGGAACACCGCAGATATCTTTCAACCTGCCCGTTCGTCCTGGGACTGGAAGTTGGGAACAATCCTCTAGAAGTGCCAAGCACAGCTCTTCCTCTTGCTGTGTCAGAAACACAAAGACAAGCGGTGGGAGGCAGCAAAACGGGATCAGAGAGTAAGCACGAGTTAACAATAAGTTTAACACATCCTTTTTTCTTTTTTTTTTTTTTTTTTACAACATCCCCAGAAATGCACTGAATGACGTCACGCTTAGCCCACTGCGCATGCGTGCACTTTTAATGAGTTGCTAGATTGCCATAGGAAAATGAATGGGTTCGCGATTCGTGGGTAATTCGTGATAATTGACTAACTTACGGCCTGATGACGATAGACAGCAACGCTGTGCTATGCTTCAAGCAACCCCTGACCAAATATAGTTAGGTTTTTTTTTTTTATTTCTGTTGTACACACGTACTAAGACGTTTGTCGTGTATTGCCTAGCCTTCCCTCAGCAAAACGCACATATTTTCAGAAATAGTGATTTTACACGGTAGATTCACTCAGAAACAAAGGCAAATTAATTCGTTGCCGATAGCACCAGCAGATACCAGCACCATACAGAGTCTGATTAAAAACTTTCATGGCAATTGAAGAACTTTTACCACTGTACAATGGAGTCCAAAAAAGCACTTGGCACAAATGTGAAACTGCCCAGTGCAAGGCCAAGAATTCAATCAGCATTTTCAATCATATTATCAGATTCTATATAAATTTACTGACAATATCCCTACTCAGTATTTAACTAATCTCTTAATCCAAAATTCCTATCATCATTTAATAATAATGCAAAATTCTTCTTTCAGATTGCTATTTATTTTAAATTTGAATGCTGCAACTGTTCCAAAATAATCTTGTAGTAAAGAAAAAATGCAAATAAGAAGTGGAAGACCAATTGTACCCACATTATTCAATTATTTGAATATAAAAAGAATTAGATCACGATTTAACAAATTAAAATAATCGTTCATGAACTCTTTCATGAATAGCATATTAAACAATATTAAAGTTATAAATTAGAGGTAATGGCTTATTCATGAATATATGACATCTGCACATCATCAGTACCTGACTTGGTACAGTATAGTTACTACTTGGATACAGAGTTAGATTTAATAATGTAACAATAAGAACAAAATATATTACAATAAACTTATCTGCACATGTCAGACGCTTGTTACCATGAACTAACACTACTTGACAATAGACTGAGCACTTATCACAGAGTCTGTGTGCGATGCCATTGTTGTGCTGTGATTATCTAGTTGAGTCACGTGAAGCTCTACTGTAGCGCCCTCGCGTATCGCGTGAATGCTGCACATTTCTGGCCATGAACAGTTTTACAAGGACAAAATGTCAGGGACCTAGTTGATAATATTCATGTGGCACAATGTAATGTATATTGACCTGCTCAGACAATACCCCCAAATCTGATAACAAGGCATCTCAAAATGCTTGCAAGGCACCCAAGTTGATTCTTTTTGATAATTCGAGCACTCTGGTGGAAAGCATCATTATATCGGCCATTTTATAAAATGCAGTTGAGACTTGGAATTTTTACCTTGCATTTAACGTTTTCTAATCGCGTACTTCATGTACCTAAATTGCGAGTCGTAGAACTTAAAGCCAAATAATAAAAAAAGAACTCTGTAAAACCTGTATTACACTTAGGCCTGGCACAGGAAATGTTCCAATTCTTCCAACAGATGATGCTGTTTTCAGTGGCAACTTAGATGCTAATGCTGATCTTTTCCCACCCAGACTTAACAAACGCCAGGTCTACACCACGTGACCATGGTGGCAATGCGTCCTCACAACTGTCAAGTAAACAAGCACTATCCAGGTCACTGGGCATCGGTTCACCAGAGGTCGCCACCCCGCAGACCACACCGCTGGAAAGTCGTCCAATGGCCCTCCCTGGGGTAACTAACAGTGTGAACTTTACTGAAGTCCCAAGCCCCCCCTCAACGGAAAAAATGATGAGGAACGAGTCTGACCGCCTGGCGACATTCGTCAACTGGCCCAGTGGAGCAAGTGTCCGACCCAGAGACTTGGCAAGAGCTGGCTTCTTCTATGTGGGCACGGAGGACCGGGTACAGTGTGCCTTCTGTGAGGGGGTTTTAAGGAATTGGGAACCAGGTACGAGCTTTTTTTTTCATTTTTTTTTTTACTTAATTCTATCCCTGTCTGTTCTGCACAAATGATTAAACAGAAAAACCGTAGCTAAAATGTATAATGCGAACATTCCAAAATTTACCAAATTATCCCTCTAGACTGGTTTACCATGGTTAAGCGTCGATTTGTTACGAGGTTAAGCATCGATTTGTAACGTAAATGGTGGCTTAAGCAAAACATTCGGGGCTCTTTGCGTTAAAAACACACACTACGCATCAGACTGTCAGAGGATATAATTTGTTTTAGGAGACCAACCAATGCAGGAACACCGCAGATATCTTTCAACCTGCCCGTTCGTCCTGGGACTGGAAGTTGGGAACATTCCTCTAGAAGTGCCAAGCACAGCTCTTCCTCTTGCTGTGTCAGAAACACAAAGACAAGCGGTGGGAGGCAGCAAAACGGGATCAGAGAGTAAGCACGAGTTAACAATAAGTATAACACATCCTTTTTTTTTTTTTTTTTTTTTTTTTTTTTTTTTTTTTTTTTTACAAACAGTTTTACAAGGACAAAATGTGTCAGAGACATAGTCGATAACATTCCTGTGGCACAATGTAATGTATATTGCCCCATTCGGTTGATAACAAGTCATCTCATAATGCTTGCAAGGCATCCAAGTTGATCCTCTTTGATAATTCGAGCTCTCTGGTGGAAAGCATGATTATATCGGTCATTTTATAAAATGCAATTGAGACCTAGAATTTGTACCTTACATTAAGCGTTTTCCATTTGCGTACTTCATGTACCTGAATTGTGAGTCGCAGAACTTAACGCCAAATAATAAAAACGAACTATGTAAAACATTTATTACACTAGGCCTGTGCGCACATCAACAAGTATTGCCATCCCCTGTTCCGTGTTTTATTGCATTTGTACGCGTCATTTCTCTGAATAGAGCACAGGGCGACCCACTGATTCTGCTCGAATCTTTGTTCATATTACATTGTATCTAGAATGCATGTCTTTACTTCTCAATTCGATCCTTTTTCCATATTTTTACCCATTAGGTATCACAAATGGAGCCACACTAGGGATACTAACAGCGAGACCCAGACACGAGAGATACGCCATGGAAAACACCAGAGTTCAGACTTTTGCTAACTGGCCACCATCTCGCATTCCGCGTCCTGAAGAACTCGCCAGGGCCGGGTTCTTCTACGCCGGTAACTCCACTTTATATTTGACTGAAATATATCCGTTATTTAATTAATCATTACTATATATAAGTTCATATCCTTTGTTTGTTCTAAATTGATAGGAAATGAGACTACCTCCTTCATTGTAATACATGTGTCACAGGCTATAATAACATTAATTAAAGCACACTAGCATCTTCTTTGTTATAGCAAAGCCACACCATGTGTAATATAAAGTTGGTCAAAAAGGTTGTCCCACCCCCATTCCCATGTGCTTTAATTTACAAATGATCACCTCACGGCTGTAAATTGTTAGAAATAGTGCTTTTTATTACAGATACAGTGTTTAACATGATTAATGGTTAAAAAAATGCAAAATAGTGGTGAAAATATACAGTTTTTATACCATTTAGTAAAATTTATAAGAGGTACCCCCTCAAATCCACAGCTTCACTGTGACCTTTACAGATGTAAAGAAATGTCTATTAAATTTAAAAGACGTCATCAAATGTCACCAAATTCACACACAATTAGCATTAGGGTGTGTTCGTTAAAGATCACGTGCCTAACAGCGTGTGCGTCTACCGCGTACTGCAATTATCTCCTGTAGACGGCGCGACAAGCCTTCAACACGGGTAACAATTATGTTATGTGGGATATTGCCCCATTCGTCCTAAAGAGTGTGGCGGAATTGGTCAAGATTATTTGGGAATTGGTTTTCCTTTGCAATGCACATCCCAATTAATGCCACGGCTGCTCAGTAGGATTAATATCAGGGCTCAAAGACGGTTGTCCCGTCCTCAGAGCCCTGTGTTTCTGCAACAAATTGCTTGCCAGACGAGAGCTGTGAGCAAGTGCGTTGTCACAATGAAGCAAGTAGCATCCCTGAAGTCACCTCTTGCAAATGGAGTGAGATTTCTGTTGAGAATGTTACATTAAAATGCCCCTGTTACGATTTGTTCCAAAAGGAACAATGTACATGGGCTTGGAATGTTCTCCAAATGCGGACTGATCTAACACCTCAGGTGATATTATCCTACACACACCCTCCCAAGAGGCATTTTTAACATGTCTATGGACCCTCATTTGACCATCGATGGGATACAAGAAATAATTTGATTCTGCAGCAAAACCGACTTCCTTCCAGTGATGGATGGCCAGGTTCAGGTGCCTGTGGGATCACTGAACGTAGCATTCTCAGCTGATATCTCATTCCATCTTCAAGAACTGACTTTGGGGTGAACTCCGGGCTTCATCATGACTGCACACTTGCTCACACCTCTCGCCTGGCAAGTATTTGTCGAAGAAACACAATGCTCTAAGGATGGAACCACCATATTTGAGCCCTGATATTAAACTTACTAATCAACTGTGACATGAATTTGAGTGTGCAATGTAAAGGAGAACCAACCCCATAAAAACGTGGAGCAACTTCCCCAATTTGTTTAAGAAGAATGGGACTATATCCTATAAAACAGAATTGTTACCCGTGTTGAAGGCTTGTCGCGCCGTCTATAGGAGATAATTGCAGTACGCGGTAGACGCACACGCTTTTAGGCACGTGACCTTTAATGAGCACACCCTAATGCTTATTGTGTGTGAATTTGGTGACATTTGATGGCGTCTTTTCAATTTAGTAGACATTTCTTTACATCTGTAGAAGTCACAGTGAAACAGTGAATTTGAGGAGTTACCTCTTATACATTTTACTAAATGGTATAAAATATGTATATTTTTACCATTATTTTGTATTTTCTTTTAACCATTAATTATGTTAGGAACGGTATCTGTAATAAAAATCACTATTTCTAACAATTAACAGCTGTGAGGTGATCATTTGTAAATAAAAGTGCAGGGAAATGGGGACGGGACAACCTTTTTGACCAATGTTATGTAAGGATGAATGCGAATTTTAACGATCTTTTTTACAACGTTCTGTTAAGTACATGTATAATCTGATCCCTTATGAATAAAAATATACAAGGGGCCTATCTTGTAATTTTGCTTAGAGGAGTAACAGGGTCCATTTAATATACGGTCATGTTATTATTTTTTTTTTAATATTCGTTAATAACAGGCTTTGGTGACAACGTGAAATGCTTCTTCTGTGACGGAGGGTTGAGGAATTGGGAACCTCAAGACGACCCTTGGGCTGAGCATGCGCGTTGGTTCCCACGTTGTGGTTTTGTTCGCCAGTGCAAGGGGGATGAGTTTATTCGAATGATCAAGGAACAAAATTCGCCAAACAACCCGGTAAGCATATATTTAACCACACCATTCAGATTTGCTAACGGTTTAGGCTAGATAACTTTTGAAATAATTGCTGTAGCTTGAATCAGTAGGCGATGTTTGAGTTTCATTTTGAAACGCCATAATCGTTAATCAATATACATTCTACTTGATCAACGATAAAAATCACAAATTGTCTTTTATTTGTATATCTGTACACCATGTCAGCAAGTCCCATATGCATTTATTATGTTTTTTATATTGATTTTATATTGTTTTGTTCAATTTATCCTCCCCAGGCTCAAGCACAAGCACAAATACCACAAGGTTAGTCGTCATTTACCCGCTGCCTATAACTGGCTAGATATCTTGAGTTTTGAAGCAGCACTCAACTTCATAAATAGACAATAACAACGCCAATAAACAATCCGGTTTAAAGACACAGATATTCGTTTATTCTTTATTGTTCTTAACAGAACTAGCAAAATTAGTAAATATATTTCAGGGCCGTAGCCTCCGGGGGGGCAGGGGGGGCAGCTGCCCCCCCTGGGATTTAGAAGTTTCCACACTGGTAGGGGGACACCCCCTCCCCCCTCAGGGGCTTCGCCCCTTTGTGTCCGCTTACTGCCCCCCCTGGCATTTTGCTCAGGCTAAGGCCCTGTATTTGAGGTAATTGAACATGTTCTGATTTGTGATTAGATCCCATCAAACATCCAAGAATGTGGAGCAAAACATCACCTAAATGCTTGTAAATAAATCGCTAAGCATGCTTTTTGGCACATAACCTGACCAGAACCCTGTTTGTACGCAGGTGTGCCAGGCAATTACCACGTAGAGGCCCGGGAGATCAAAGCCCGCCTGGACACCCCGACAGTGCAGGCGGTCTTAGATATGGGTTTCAGTCGAGATAAAGTGCGTCAGGCGATCGAACAAAGATTGCGGAACACTGGAGATGATTATCCCAGTGCAGCCAGTTTACTAGACGCCGTTTTGAATATCGAGGTTGAGATGAACCGTCAGACGGCGCAAGGCGCTGCGGCAATGGCAGTAATTCCCCAAGAAGAGTGTGGTCCGCAGCCACTAAACGCAGCTCTGGCTGAAGCACCACCACGTTATGCAGCCCAGAAAACATCACAAACACAGCATACTGGTACATGTTGGAGTTAATAATATTCAGCAATGTTAACTTGTGGTTAAAAGTAAAAAATCTTAAATAATATATTTATATATTTTTCTTTTTAGTTGATTAAATGTTTTAGTTTGCAGATTAGCATCTCACAGATTTCAAGTACTATAGATACATCATCGCTCGTAACTAACACACAAGTTTTTACTTGAATTCAGTAGATACCAGAGTAGCTCGTTCATTTACTTTAACGCTCAAATCGTTTTTTCTCAGATGGGCGTCAGTGTCATGACTTCCTCCTCTGTGACACGTATCTTATATATGTAGGTTACTGGGACACCTGTTCATCTTTACAACGTCATTATTACAACAGGCTGAGTTGTTTAGATTGGATTTAAATTTCATTTTATTTCAGAGAAACAGACTAGAAAAGGCAAGAAAAAGAAAAAGAAGAAACGAGGTGTTCCGGTACCAAAGGATAGTGATGACAGGGGTGAGCACTAAAGATTTAAGGTTGATGTGTTTGATAATATATTGATTTTATACGTCAGGCTGCCGTGCACATCGTGCACTGATCAAGGTCATGGTCATCAAGGTCATTTAACTAGGTGGTAAAGTTATTGCATCTATAACATGTTTAGGGAGGAGCGGTAAGGTAAGACACAGAGGGTTAGAAAGATACAGGATGCATGCCTTTACTGTTCTACTAACATCACTGCATAAAATGCATACGGCAAGATAGCCGCTTAGGGGCATGAATATTAATTACTGATGAAGCTTATGTGCATAATATTACTATCAGTTAATGATACAATAACTTTATCTGTTATAAAGGATCCATATACAATGAGGTTCATTACATCGGTTTTGCAAAAAAAAAAAAGCGCACCTATTTGTTTCCAGAGACCAAGTCCTTGCTTGAGGAGAACAAGATGCTGAAGGAAGAGCGCACCTGTAAGATCTGTATGGATAAAGAAGTTGGTGTGACATTTCTGCCGTGTGGCCATCTTGTCGCCTGTGTCCAGTGTGCACCTGCCTTAAGGAATTGCCACATTTGTAGAGCAGCCATCAAGGGCACAGTTAGGTCCATATTAAGTTAAACTCCCAGTCAGCGTCAGGGACATGGTTAGTTTGGTATCAAATCTTTATTACACGTGTCCGTATATACGTGTTATACATGCCATTCATTTTTAGTCGTTTTGACAGCATTGTATTTGCTTAAATAGATATATGTATTGACGTATATATCTCATAATCCTGTTCAGGGGATGATAACGGCTTCTTCATCAAGTAATTCTCGTCAGGGATAACACTAGATTCATCATCAAGTAATCCTGTTCAGAGCGAAACACATTATGGTCGTAATTTCTATAAAAAAAAAATAAAAAAAAAAAAAAACTCATTTAAAGCGGGAAAGCACGCTGATGTTAATTAAAGATAATTAAAAGAAAGAAGTGGAGAGGTTCTTCTCATTTATGTTTAAGTTAAACAGAGAACATGATCCAATGATACCACACAAGACAATGGCTTTCTGTATATTCGCCGCGGAAATAGAAGAACGAAGACATAATAATCGTTTTTCATAGTGGGCGCGCCATTGCCAGTTTAATTATCAGCAATTAAGGTCCAGCTAGCGTTACACCTCGAAGAAGCCCTGAGCACATGATAAATATAACACTTTTAAATAACAAATAACACTACTATTAAAGAGAAAATAACTAATTATATATGCTGCTTGGTTGTGATGAGCTCATTACTTGATGAAATATACCCCATTGCTTAACATCACAGATATTAATTGATGAGCTTATATTCCGCGATGTGAAAACCAATGATTCTTGTAGTTCTTTTATAGGCACTTATAATTTAAAAACAACTCTGAATGCCGAAGTGAAGGCTCTATCAAGTAAGGTATGCTGTTTACTTAAGGAAACTTGGTTGTGCACATCTCATAGTACAAAGTCATTTTTACAATATGAAGACCTACCTGTATTATATACCTACATGTATATGCTTAAAGGTCAAATTAGCAGACAAGGCAGTATAAGGTATATCTAATTACAGTACTATATCAAATCTTAAGTAAAAATATGAAATATTCTGTATGTATTTTACAACTTATTATCATGTACACGGTACTGTGCATTGTATTACAAAATGATGTGTAGATTCCATGAAAACCCGTTGACTTTTAATGTATAGCGATACAGATGAATAAATATTATCAAGATCCTTGACAACAGTATGTTTGGACTAATGGCTGCACATTATGAGGCGAATACGTTACTTAGTACCGTTATCTTTAAAATAACGATGTATTTCATGTATGCCTGCAGAATATTAAAAACAGGCTTGATAATACGACGGAGCATTTTGCTGGACAACTGTACAATTGTGTTGTGTGTAATTAGTGTATATTTCAATGTTTGTTGATTTTGACGTCATTCTGCGTGTTTGAAAAAATATAAACTACAGGGGTATATGTACATGGATGATAAGGCTAGATATTAATAGGGATATATAGAAGTGCAAACGTGTTACTTATTTTCATTCAAAATTGCAATACTTGACACTATAATAGATCAGTTCATCTCAATAATTTGTTTCACTCTGACGTTTAATCCAGAACTAAGACTGGTATGTTTTAGCACATATGTATAAACACTGCACGAGTTCATTTTAATTTATGGCGCAGTGCATTCTGAGTGATATATATCATGCGGTAATTTTTTATAAATGCAACCTATATAAACCTTGAATATGATATTATAAGGGACGCGGTGGCGCCCCTTAGCGTGTCCCACGCCCCTAGGATGTCGCGGCGCCCGCGCCTAGACTATAGGATGTCGCGGCGCCCGCGCCTACTAAGATTTATTATAAGGTATTATTATAATGAGGCATTAAGGTACATATAAATAGAACAGGTGGTGGGTAGAGAGAACAAGTTAGGTAGTGGGAATAAAGCTGTTTGGAAATCCACGACTCTTGTTGCTCACTTCTTCTCGATCTGTGAACCTAAAATCGAACCTTACAGGATTGGCGAGCCGCCAGGTTGAGAAGAAGTAGCAAAGGAGAAAATGGCAAATCCAAACGCAGCGCAGGTCCCACTGCCGAACGAAGTCGAGGGTCATCCCCAACTTCAGCAGATAATACAAAACTTCCAAGGCTTACTTGAAGCGGTGCAGGGAAAGGCCTTTATTGAAATAGGGAACGAGACCCTAAAAACAGCGGCGACAGCAATACGACCATGTGACGGACAGGACGAAAACGAGGTAAGAGACTTTTTGGAGGAGATCGACTCGGCCGAACACCAGGTGGCATCGGTGAGTAATGGACAAGTGAAACTAGCCTGTAGAGTAACTAGAGGTAGCCTAAAAAGAGAGATAGAGCGTTTTTTACAAGCCCAACAAGACAGGGAAAATATATCATGGCCGGTATTAAAAGACCACATTCAGAGATCGTTTCTCTCGTGCAACGAGACTGAACGACTTAAGACCGAAATAGAACATTACATACAGTCGCCTTACGAAAACCTAACCTCTTACAACAGAAAATTCCGAGAAAAGGCTAATAGAGCCTTCCCAATTCCTAGAACGGGTGATGGGGAACGCCATGTCCTTAGGGCATACGCGAAAGGGTTACGTGATCATAGACTGGCCGAAGATCTAATAGTTAGGGGCCAGCCAAACACTCTGGCAGATGCCTTGAACTGGACAGAAACGCAGAATTTAGTAGAGAAGTCTATCGTCAATTAAAAGGGGAAGCCACTCAGGCTTTCAGAATAGAAGAAGACATGGAAATAGGGGTAGTTAACTCGAAAAAAGAAACTGATACCTACATGCGCCAAATTTTGGATGCGGTACAAAAATCCGAAGAAAGATTACAAACCAGAATTGCAAAACTAGAAGCTAACCAGGCACAAAAATTACATACACCACCACAGTCACAAAGCAGAAAGTATAAATGGACGCCGGATGGAGCCCCGGTGTGTTTTTACTGCAATAAGCCCGGCCACAGGCAAAGAGAGTGCTATCAGAGAAAGGGAAATATAAAACAAGAGAGCAGGGTAGGCTACCAACATAATCCACACTACAATTTTGCACAACCACACACACAGCCACTAGGTAACAGACACAATCGTTTAAACTAATCGGGCAGATATGATAACCGGTTGGGTATTAGTTTGAATTTTTTCGGATATCAGTGTAAAGCCTTAATTGATACAAGTGCAGCTGTTTCGATTCTGCGTAAAGATGTTTTTAAGAAAATTTGTGCCAAAGTAGGAAGATGTCATTTATTAGCAAAGTCAGGAAACCTGTTTAGTGTCTCTGGTGGAAAATTAGATGTAAAAGGGATTGCCAACCTCAAGATAGAAAACATAGGGTTAGTAGAATTAGTTGTAGTAGAGGGCATATCTCAAGAAATGATAGTGGGAAATGATTTACTTGAAAAAGGGCAAGGTAAAACAGATTATGTGGCCAAAACACTGACATGGTTCGATAAGGAATGGTCTTTGGAGAAAAATGAGAAAGAAGTAGAAATAAATGAAATTGTCAAATTGCCCAAATCTTCGGGAAACAAGGAAATAGATGATCTGACCCTAGAATATGCAGATATTTTCAGTGGAAAAGAAGGACCCGTAGGTTACTGTAATATATTACCCATGAAAATAAATACGGGTGACGCCGCCCCAATCAGATCACAAGCCTACAGAGCCCCAATACATAAGCGAAAAATCATTGAAGAAGAGATAGAAAAAATGTTAAAAAGACGGTGTTATAAGACCGAGCACCTCGGACTGGTGTAGTCCTGTAACACTTGTTCCTGAGCAGGATAACACTATGCGATTTTGCGTAGATTATCGGAAACTTAATCAAGTTATCAAACGTGACATGTTTCCCATCCCACTGATTCAAGACATTTTTGATGATTTAGGAGAGGCTACGGTTTACTCTGTTGCTGACCTAAAATCTGGATTTTTTCAAATCCCCGTTGCAGAACAAGACAAACACAAAACTGCATTCATCTCACACAAAGGGTTATACGAATTCAACGTCATTCCATTCGGGACGGTCAATGGGCCCGCGCATTTTGAACGCGTAATGGAAATCGTTTTAAATGACTTAATAGGTGTTTGCGTTCCTGTTTACATCGATGACTTGATCATATACTCGAAAAATATAGAGGAACATCGCGAACATCTCAGATTAGTTTTCGATAGATTACGCAAAGCTGGTCTAAAACTGAAGTCTTCAAAGTGCAGCTTCGCCCAAACATAAGTAAAACTTCTAGGGTACGTAGTTAGCAAAGAAGGAATTAGAAGCGACCCTGACAAAATAGAGGCTATTAAGAAAATCAAAACACCGCGAAATCAAAAAGACGTACGCTCATTTTTAGGGATGTGCAATTACTATGCCCAAACTCTACCAAATTTTGCAAAAATCGCTACACCATTATACTCTCTCACCAAAAAGAATTGCCCTTTTCAATGGAATGAAGAGCACGAAGAAAGTTTCACCGCTTTGAAAGATATTTTGATTTCTAACGAAGTGATGGCCCATCCCCAACTAAACAAGCAATATAAGCTATATTGTGATGCATGCGATTACGCCGTGGGTGGGGTCTTAACACAAGAAGACAAAGACGGTCGAGAAAGGGTAGTCCAATATGTCAGTCACACTTTGTCTAGAACCCAAAGGAAATGGTCAGTGTTAGAAAAAGAAATGTACGCCATTGTTTATTGTGTGTCGAAATTAAGGCCGTATTTGTGGATGGCGGACTTCAAAATTTTGACCGACCATAAACCGCTCCGCTCAGCTTTCACGAAAGAAATGCGAAACACTAAAGTTCAAAGATGGGCATTGTTTCTCTCTGAATTTGGCGCAGAAATAGAATATATCAAAGGGAAATACAATTACGGGGCAGACGTTATGAATCGTCTACCGTCGAAAGACGGTGACAAAATTGCTATTATAGACGTAGACACGGAGTGGATTGATCCAGAGGCATATCCGGATGACTATTCATTAGAAAGAATTCCCATAGAAGCAGATGAGCTTGATAAAGAGGGTCTAATTGAGGGGCAGGGAGAAGAATTTGA